AGATGTTTTCCTGGCCTCCCCCGGGGCCTGACAGGACAGAGCCAGCTGTGTGGAGTGGCCAGGGCTGCAGCAGGCAATGCTCGGGTCCTAAAGGGCTGCCGTGTTTCTGAAGCCCCCGTTGGGCAGCGACCCTCGCCCGGGCAGGGTCTGGCGTGCTGAGTTATCCGGGACCCACGTGTCGTCCCTTTGCACCCCCTGGGTTACAGTGATGACATTAACCATATTCCCAAATGGCCAGCTGGCCTCATTTTGCCCAATCTCCAGTTACAGACCAATTCCATTATATCTGAAGCTAAATAGATTCCTCATTTGGCGTGCTTTTTTGGTGCGTTTTTTTTTTTTCCTTACTTAAAACCCATTGTAGAGACTCAGCCCCTTAATGAGCCCACGATACGCTCTCCTAATGCACACTTAGCATCAGTCTTTCTAAGTGCAAGGGAGTGTCACAAGTCTGTGCAGGAGACAGCGGGATCAGCGGTGTTAGCCAGCGCTCTGGGTCACTTGCTGATGTCCCCGCTAGCCCACCTGGAGTAGAGGTAACAGCCCAAAGGCCAGGACACCTACAGAACAACCGGCATTTTCAGGGCGCTGCTATTGCAACGACGTATCATCAGTAGGGTAAAACTAACCTGTCTCACGACAGTCTAATCCCAGCTCACATTCCCTATTAGTGGGTGAGCAATCCAGTGACATGAGAACTTCCTTGATTTCTGGGTAGACTGAGCTTCAGTGCAAACGTGATCTCAGCTGGGGCATAGCCATCCTCAGAAAGAATTTCTCTCGCACTTACAAACTCTTCAGTAAACACAGTATTTACACTTGCTCCATTTCTTGGATCACCGTACCGCTGGTAGGAGGCATCAGCCAAAGGTCACCGGTTTCCATGCAACTCTCCTTTTTTTGGTCTCTCTGGGCTTTGGTATGAATCAAAACAGCAGAAATCTTTTATTTCCAGATCAAAACAGGTTCAAGTGAAGAAGGTTTGTTAGGCATGTTAGGTAGCAGCGTAAGTTTTTTGTGTGAGTCGATTTCTGTTGGCTTCTTCCTGGGAAGGGAAGTGTCATTTCTGGTTTTTTAGAAGTTTTAGTATCATTTACCTTTTGGCCTAAGCTGGGAGTTAAATGACATAAACTGGGAATTTACTACACGACCCCATTCATTGTATATCATTTAACAAAGCCTTTTTAGCGTAGGTGACTGTGTACGTGTATGTAGAGTGGGTGGGAAGGAGCACGCATTAACACCGTCGACCTGGCTTATTGATAGCAAATTACGACGCTTCTCTGGTGTTTAAATACATGCTCAGCAAACCTGGCTGTGGGAACTGCCTTGGCGTGTCAGCTCTGGCTGGGTGAGACTCCTGCAACCCAGGCGGAGGGGACACAGCGGTGAAAGAGGCTCTTCCCCTGATGGTCTACATCCAGGTGGGGTGTGCTTACCACGCTGGGGGCGGTGAGAATGGATGCGGTGCGAGCGGTGACTCAGCGGCAGACTCGGCCCCCCCTTTCCCCGGCACCGCAGGCGTGGGGTTGATTCAGCCGCCTCGCGGGCCGGCTGTCGCACGCCGGCAGCCTTGCTCGGGCTGCATTCACGCCGAATGCCAAAGTGGGGATGGCGGAGTCAGCAGAGAGCTGATGTGGTGCAGATCTCAGGTCCGGGGAGAGCTCCTCAGCACTCCTCCGGTGGGACACAGGCACCCCAAGGTGTCTGTCTCTGCTTTGGGGCCATCCTACGTCGGGGCTGGTCCACAGCTGGGTAGTGCACAGGGGCTGACCTCCAGCTGCAGGCGAGCTTCGCTCAGCGAGCTGCATCCAATGTACGGAGTGGCTGCACTGTTTCTAGAGGTGAGTTTTGGCTCTGCCTGAGGGCAGATGTGTCTCCCACTTGGTCTCTGGGAGCCCCTTTGGCAGCCCCACATGTGCCATGGGTTACATACCCTCTAAAAATCGATCTGCCATCAGGAAACTGGCAATCAGATCGTCTGCTGGAACGCAGCCGTGAAATAATCCTCGGCCACCAATGCTGCACTGGCTTTCCCCAAAAGCTGGCCTTTAATGATTGGTTCCAAAAGGTCAGGAAAGCCATCAGAAGCTCCAATTAGCTGTGACTGGCCTGGGGGACAGAGTGACACAGATGCTTTTTGAATAGGACAAAGGTCTGAGCGAGGAGAAAACATTTTTCCCAGCCACTTCTCCTCTGTTAATGCCACCTCCCTGCCATCCGGCTGTGTTTTGCACTTCTGCTGAAGTCCATCAACCTCCAAGAGCTGGGTTTCAGCTGGGTCAGTGTGCTGCAGAGAATCAGGCCTCTTCTCTTTCCCCTCAATGCTAACCCACCACCACAGCACCTTCCTCTGGGGGAAGGGAGCTTCACAGAGAAAGGACTCCCAGTCCTCACATCTGCCTATCACTTACTCCTTCTCCTTCCACACCCACCCTTATTCAGACCAGGCTCCCTTTTTCTACAGCCTTTGCCTTTGTCATCCATACACCAGTGTCTCCCAGGAAATAACGCTTCCCTGCCCTTGGTGCCCTTCATCCTCCTGCTTCGTGCCGGAGGATGCCCTGCCTCTGCCATCCCTACTCTTTCTTGACTCTCATTCTGAAATGGTTACTCTCTTCTTGGACCAGCTTCAAGTGCATTTGAAGAAGCCTTTGCTGACACATTTGCTGCAGCTCAGCGTGAATCATTTTGTTCCTCTCCTCTAGTTCTCGGCGTTTCATAGATCTCCTCTCTTCCCCCTTTTGCAGGTTCCTTTGCAGGCTGTTCCTCAGATGTCTTCTGGAGGGGGGAGGACCAGAGGAAGGAACACTAGCAAAGCCAGATACAAAGCTTTCGGGGAGAGGAGCTTAAGCTGACTGAGAAAACACAAACTGGGAGGGCAGAGGAGAAGGGAGCAGCCCGGTACAGGAGAAGGACATAAGATGTTTTATCTGGGAAGCACCATCTGGCTTACACCCTTCAGAAAGGAGGAGCTGTTTGGGATCAAAGTGCTGTTTGGGTGAGGGTGAGGGATGCTGTGGCACAAGATACTGCACGGCAGTTGGCTTCTGTGCAGGATGTTATCACAGGATCCTTTTGACCCTGCTGTGGTGGGAAGCCACCTTTGCCCTGAGGCATCCTCTTGCTCTTGCAGGAAGCTGTCCTCACCTCTGACATTGCCATCCACCCATCTGCTTCATGCTTCTTTTAGGTGTCCTGCAGTCTCTAACTGCCCGGCTGTTAAGTCCAGTTAGCCCCAGTAAGGATCAGCATGGGTCTGTATGCCATGGGAGATGCTTACCAGGCCGAGGTGCACCTGTTGAACCCAGAACTCAAGAGGCAGACTCCTTCCTAGTGTCTTCTCTGCCTCTTTCAGCCTGGCAGGGCTGTTGAGGGAACCATTAGGACTTCCAGGCAATAACCACACACGCGGGATCCTGATGGTTGAAAGCGTTGGTCCTGAGGATGGGGTAGGAAATGGCAAATGGGAAACTTTGGTCTGGGAAAGCTCTGCAGAGCTAATAGGACTGGGCATCATGCCTTCTGCTCCAGGCTGGTTCTTTTTGCTCATATCTGCCTAGGCTCAGTGTGGTCTGAACAGGTCTGACCAATCTCACCAGTTAATGGATGTTTGGAAGGAGTTCAGCTGGCGAGTAATTGAGAAAAGAAGAAAAAAAACAACTGAATACACTTATAGTGTATTCATCTGTAAATCACACAGAATCACAGAATCACAGAATGGTCAGGGTTGGAAGTGACCTCTGGAGAGCATCTAGTCCAACCCCCCTGCCAGAGCAGGGTCACCTACAGCAGGTTGCACAGGACAGCGTCCAGGCGGGTTTTGAATGTCTCCAGAGTGGGAGACTCCACCACCTCTCTGGGCAGCCTGTTCCCGTGCTCCACTACCTTCAAGGTAAAGAAGTTCCTCCCCATGTTAAGATGGAACTTCCTATGTTCAAGCATCTGTCTTTATAGAATCATAAGAACGGGCATGCTGGATCAGCCTAGGGAATGGTCTGTCCCAGTATCCCGTCTCTGACAGTGGCTAGAAGCAGATGCCTGGAGAAGAGTAGGAAAACAATGCAAGTATGTGCATTTCTCTCCTCCAGCACTGTCCGCGCCTCCAGCTGTGTTCAACTCGCACTGAGCCAGATGTAGTTTCTGTGCACTGAATTGTTCTCAAGGGGTTTTTCTTCCATCGACTTGTCCCGGAACCTGCACAGACTCTCAGCATCCACAACATCCCATGACAAGGAATTCCCCAGTTCCACTGCAGACATTGTTTTCCTTTGCTTTAAACCCAGCTCCTGCCAGCTTCACCTATTTCTTTTATTGGAAAAGACAGTAAACAATCAATTCCTGTCCATCCTCTTCAACAGCACTCTGAATTAACACCACATTATTATCTGCTTATTACACATGGTACGTAGAGACCTCTTTGTACAGGGCAGTGTATAAAGATAAGGCTGAATAATAGTTGTTTTGCTGCAGTGCTCCCAGTCCGAACAGAGGAGGCAGGGAAAGGGCAGAGGCCAAGTGCATTACAGGAGAGCAATGTGAGCAGAGCGTTCTCATCGCTGGCCTCTTCTTAAAGTTACCTTTCTATTTTGCAGGCAGCCCAGCTGGAAAATGTGGCGGTGACTCCTGCTCTCAAGTGATTTTCCTCCGGCTTCTCCTGAAGGCTGAGTGGGTGCTGAGCAGGATGCAGCAGCCAGCTGCTCCCTCTCTGCGTCCATCCCAGACCAGCCTCGCTGCTGACTCGTACTTTGCACACCGCCTCCTTGAGGATCCCGAGTGGTCCCTCGCCACTGTCCCCCACCTCACTGAGCTCTGCCTCCAGCACATTGCTCACAATTTTGACAGTAAGTAAGCGGGAGTGCTTTTCCCCCGGACAGCGGCAGTCCGGGGGAGCAGAGGGTCAACAAGGCAGAGTGTGGTACCCAGCCCTGCCAGAGGGACAGATGGGGAGAAATATCCCCTCAGGCAGCTAGTTAAACAAACTGTTTAGTTGCTAAGTGTATGCTTGTACACTCCAGGGATGGTTGTAGTCCTCTGGGCTGCTCTCCAAGATGTGACTCTGCCCTAACCTTGTCCTATCGTTTCTCCTTCCTTCCCTGCTCTGCTGGACTCACTTACCTCAACCGTGGCCGGGGCTGTGGAGTCGCTGTTTCCTTCTCTTGACTCATGTACGCATTACGGTAGCACTCAGGGATGGAGACCCGTTGTGCTGAGTGCTGTACAAAGAGATGGAGAGCTCCTCAGAGGAGCTACCAGCTCAGAATACGTATTGTATTCACAGTCTCAGGCCTTTTCCACAGCTTTCAGTGGTGATGTGAGAAGTTATATCATAGAATCACAGAATGGTTTATGTTGGAAGGGACCTTAGAGATCATCTAGTTCCAGCCCCCCTGCCACAGACAGGGATACCTCCCACTAGACCAGGTTGCTCAAAGCCCCATCCAGCCTGGCCTTAAACACCTCCAGGGATGGGGCATCCACAACTTCCCTGGGCAACCTGTTCCAGTGTCTCACCAATCAGAGAATGTGCTTTCGAAGCAAGACTGATGAAGCACAGCAAGACAGAAAAAGCATGTCTCACCTGGGAACTGATGGGAAGGGGGGTCTTTTTGATTGACTCAGTGGAGTGACAGCAAAGACCAAAGGCTGTGTCCACATTGGGACTGTAAGACAGTACGGAGGAGCTCAGTGCTGCCTCACGCCAGGAGCTGATGGTACTTGGGGGTCTGAGCTGGGAGATCCTCACAGTCCTGTCAACATGATAAGTCAGTCCATTGCCAAATGGAAAGGACCTACGTTGGGTTGACATAAAAACAGTGTGCTTGGTGTCATGGGGACCCTCATGCCATTACCTGAGCTGTGCGGCTGCATCTTGCCCACTGCTGTGGCCTGAGTGAGCGGGAGTGACAGTAGCCCAGTTCTGCCCATACATGTCCCACCTCTGCTTGCACCATGGGACTTTGCAGAGAAGGTCACTGCAGTACCAGCTGTAGGACAGCGGAGAAGAGACACCAGGAAGAAGCTGTGGTAAAACTCCGGGTGTCCATAGGAAGGAAATGCCACAGAGACAGAGAAAATATAAAGCTGACCCCACTTTGTATCTCAAAATCTGATTTCCCATGCGCAGATAGGCCTCTCCCCTGATGATTTCTGTTACTCAACACTACCGTGCACGTGTCACTGAGCATTCATGGTCTGAGTACCCACGGCTTTTCTCTGGCATTTCTTACTACAAAGAACTTCCACCAGACAGAAACCAGCCGAGACTTAGGGCAAGCATCAGGAAAGAGGCTGAGGGGCGAACAAGAACTTTTATTTAAACAAGGCTAAGAGTGTGTCTTAGTGGAAAGGAACAGGAATCAGTTTGGGGTAAGACAGACACATGAGTTACGATAAAAAGGCACAAGGACTTGCATGAAGAGCACACAGGCAGCTGTTCTCAAATATTGTCCTTCAATATGCTTAGAAACCAAAGGGAGAAAGTTCAGCAAATGACAAGCCGAGCTCTCCCATCGCTGTAAGGCTGAGTTAGCTCTCTTGGGAGCAGAAGTCCTGCTCTGAATATAAACTGCATTCAAACTAAATTTAAACTAGGAGCTGTTTCTGATGCAGTTCCCAAATATTATGGGAGTAAACCCAATTACGCTGATGTTTTACTGTAAAAGTTAGAAATCCTACACAGAAGTGTAGGAGATGAATCCTACACATTTTCTGCCAGCTTAGCTCCCTGCAACAGCTGCTGGCAATGGAGAAGAGTGCCAGTATCAGCAGAGGGAAGGCCATGGGCACGCAGCTGGGGGCCCCAGCAGAACCATAGTACCAGCCATGGTTCCTACAGCCCAGACCAACCTCTCCTCCTCTTCATTCCATCCAGAGAACCCTATTTTGGACCGTCTTCTGCCTGAGCACCAAAGGAAGGTGCTGGACAGGCTCTCCACTGGCCTTCCGCTTGCTGTCACTGCCAACCTGATAAGCGATGAGGACTACTGGAAGAGGTGCTGCACTGAGCGCTGGCAAGTCTGTGACATCTCCAACTATGGAGACAGCTGGAAACGGATGTTCTTCGAACGTCACCTGGAGAACATCCTGAAACGTTTCATCCCTAACACCACAGACCCCAACCAGGTCCTAGATCTCATCCCGATCTGCAAAGACTATGTGCGGAAACTGGAGGTTGATCAGTTCCTGCCACCGGTGAAGGTGGATCAAAAGGAGGAGAGAGATGATCTCTCTGATACAGGGAGTGATTTTGGGCTCGGTGAGGTCTCCGTGCATCACTACAACCTGGGAGTCCTCATTACTTCTCTCCCTCACCTTGAAGAGCTTCATCTCACTTATGGTGTGAAGGACTGCGGCATGAACTTTGAGTGGAACCTCTTTAACTTCACCTACCAGGACTGCTGCAACCTGGCTGTCGCTGTGAAGAAGTGCCACAACTTGAAAGTAATGTGTCCCAAACTGAACCTTTCTTCCTCAGCTAGATCTTCAAATTGCCCGGGGGTAGAAACCCAGGGACCAGTTTTGGTTGCTGGCAGCACCCTTCCATTTGCAAGTTGCAGTCTGGCAGTGCAGAGATGTTAACTCGCTGGCCTAGCGCCGAGTGTCTTGTTCTGCATATGTCCCTGTTAGAACAGGTTGTCAGAGGGTCGGTGAGAAAAATGCTTGCTCCCACAAAACATGTTCCCTGTAACCCAAGAGAAAGCAACACTCCTGTTTTAACTCCTTACGTAGTTCTGGGAGGGAGGAGAGGAGAAGCCTGGAGAGAGTTTTTCTTTAAGGACAGGTCTTGGTGTTTATGCTCGGTAAATATATATCAACAGAGCACCAGAGACCCCCCCTCAAGAAGAGCATTGGGAAATACTGACACTTCCCTTAGAGTGATGAGGCTTTTTCTTTATGGGCACTAACGCAATCTTCAGTTCTGTGGCAACTGCAGTGCAGATAGCTCAGCCCTTCCAAAACCTCAGCGGGCATTGCTAGCCAGAGCATGGCCAGAAGAAGCTGGCTGAATGCTCTCCCCACAGATTGGCATGCTTTGGGAAATATTTGTCTGCTTGGCTTCCAGAAGAGAAATTACCTCTCCTGTGGCTATTGAGGTGCCCAGGCCACGCAGGGCATTGCCCGTCACGGAGAGCACTGTGGTTACCTCCACTGCATACGCTCATTCAGACAGGGTTTGACTGTGATCTGGGGGGAGTTCTGCTGTTACTGTCTGCAGATGTTTGGGCCCCTTTATCTCATTTTAGTTTAGCCCCCCTGTGTCAGAGATCCTGTGGATTCAGAGGAGAGGAACAGGGGGTTCCTGGAGATGAACCATTTCTCCCTAGAACAGGCATGGGACATCAGTGGCATGTCCTGCCTGCTGGAAGTATCTGCCCACTATAAAAGCTACTACTTGAGCCTACTGGCTAAAGGGGTCTGAGGTGAAGGGAAATGAATCCTGTCTGGTGGGCCATGGGCTTAACTCTCTTGAGGTCTGGCTGTTTTAGTGTGCCTGTTCTTTATCCCCACAGGTTTTCAAGCTGACACGCAGCAAAGTGGATGATGAGAAGACCAGGCTGCTGGTCCGTAACTTGTTGGATCACCCCTGCTTGGTGGAGCTGGACTTGTCCCACAATCTCATCAGGGACAAGGGGGCACGAGCTATTGGCAAGTTGATCAACCGCGGCAAATTAGAAATCCTCGACCTGTGTAACAACCAGATCCGTCACCTGGGGGCTCAGGCTCTTGCTCAAGCCCTGGCTGAGAACTCCACCCTGACCTCCCTGAATCTGCGCCTCAACTGTGTGGAGGACAAAGGCGGGGAGGCGATCGGCCATGCCCTGCTGACCAACACCACCCTGAAGTCCCTCCATCTGGGAAGTAATAACCTGTCAGAGCCAACTGCCACGCTTTTCTCCCAGGTCCTGGCTCAGAACACCACCCTGACAAGTATCAACTTCTCATGCAACCACCTGGGGCTGGTAAGAGAAACCCCTTCCCCCGGCAGTTTGTGAGCTGGCGTGGTGGCCCAGCAAAGCAGATGCTGAGCCTGCCCTGCCTCGAAGCCACAGAGGCAAATGCATCCTTCACTTTGCAGTCTCGCTGTGATAACGATCAGTTGCGAGCAGGGAAGACTCTAGCAGACGGCAGGAAGGAGAAGGACATCTTCCATGCACGTACACACGTTTATCTCACTCGTTACATCTAGCTCCGTTCGCAGGGCTGAATCTGGCTTCCAGGCTTTGGGCTTTTGGGCAGAGTGGGATTTTCCCCCCAGCAAACTGAAAACCGGGGAGTATGTCTGGGAAAAATCACAGCCTCTTCACACACGTGGGAGTAGATAATAATGATAGGCGGCATGAGACGAGGGCCTTATGCATATCCTCTGTGCTTTGGATCTGCTGTGCCATCTGTCATTCAGCAGCACACAGATAGTGTCACCCTTCCCAGAATCTCTCCTGTCTGTCACGCAGCTCAGAGGAGACTGTTAGAAAATTGGCTGGGTTGCTGAGCTCCTTAAACTCATCCTGTAGCTCTGGAGCAGTGTGGTAGGTCAAAAGTATCACGTCTGGGTGCTTGTAAGTGACTCCTAAACCACAGGCTTACATTTTCTAGACAGAGGAGCATCCACAGACCTTACTGCATCCCTAAGAGCTGCGTATGCAACATGCCCACAAACCAGACCGCTTCTCTTCTGCTGATTAAAAAGAGATTTAGAAATCTGAAACTAGACAGCCAAATGCAATCATGCTGGCTTTTAAACTTTCTGCGCTGCCTCAATTTTTCTCACTGTCACAATAAAGAGACGGCAAGACCAGCTGTCCCTGCTGGCAGGAATATCGGCATCAATGTGTTTGACAACTGTTTTAAAAGGATTTGATGGCAGAAAACCTTTAGTGAGTTCTGAGTTTTATGATCCTGGACGTGAAAAACCATTTGAGTTTAATAATACAAGGGGGCAAAGGCTGGAGAGAAGGATTTTTGCTTACTAAATAATAATCGCTGTGCTTGGCATCTTCCTTCTGATGAGCTCTTCTGGTACCCATTTGTGAAGCTCCACAGCAGCCCAACAAGTGGGCTGGTGGTTTGATCTTTGGAGAAATGGGTGTCTTTGCTAGAAAGGCATGAAATTCTGACCTCTGTACCCCATTAAAAAGAGACTCCTTCCCGGTCCTTTTTGCTCTATCCTTTTTGGCAAAAGGTGCTGGGATGAGGGGACCACCTGGATGGAGGAGATGGGGGCAGGAGGTGTGTTTGGTACCTGAAAGAGAATAGCTGGCCGGGGGGG